AATTGTCCTTATCCTTTCATTGTCATTGGCACGATGCTTTCATTCATTATGTAGGCTGCATTTCTCAACTTGGAACAGTTGACTATCACCCACTCAAAAAACTTGGAGATGATATGGCAGAGCAAAGTACATGCAGATTCCTTTTCCGAACTGAAATCTTTAAGAGTTGAAAACTGTGAAAAGTTATTGAGTATTTTTCCTTCTACTGAGGTAATATGTTTCTCATTTCACTTTCGTTTTGGTTTTAATTTTAAGGGCTAATAATTGTACTTATGCTTTCATTGTCATCGGCATGATGCTTTCATTGTCATCGGCATGATGCTTTCATTCATTATGTAAGCTGCATTTCTCAACTTGAAACGGTTGACTATCACCCACTCAAAAAACTTGAAGATGATATGGCATAGCAAAATACATGCAAATTCCTTTTCCAAACTGAAATCATTAGCTGTTGAAAACTGTGAAAAGTTATTGACTGTTTTCCCATCTACTGAGGTAATGTGTTCCTCATTTCACTTTTGTTTTGGTTTTAATTTTAGGGACTAATAATTATCCTTATCCTTTCATTGTCATTGGCACAATACTTTCAGTTGTTATGTTGGTTGCATTTCTCAACTTGGAAGAGTTGACTATCACCCACTTGAAAAACTTGGAGATGATATGGCAGAGTAAAGTACATGCAGATTCCTTTTCCAAACTGAAGTGATTAACAGTTGAAAACTATGAAAAGTTATTGACTGTTTTTCCTTCTATTGATGTAATGTGTTCCTCATTTCACTTTTTTTTTTGGTTTTAATTTTAAGGGCTAATAATTGTCTTTATCCTTTCATTGTCATTGGCACGATGCTTTAATTCATTATGTAGGCTGCATTTTTCAACTTGGAAGAGTTGAGTATCACCCACTTTAAAAACTTGGAGATGATATGGCAGAGCAAAGTACATGCAGATTCCTTTTCCAAACTGAAGTCATTAACAGTTGAAAACTGTGAAAAGTTGTTGACTGTTTTTCCTTCTATTGAGGTAATGTGTTCCTCATTTCATTTTCCTTTTGGTTTTAATTTTAAGGGCTAATAATTGTCCTTATCCTTTCATTGTCATTGGCACGATGCTTTCATTCATTATGTAGGCTGCATTTC